CGTTGGCACAAAGACAACTGCATCCACACAGAAAAGGGCTGCAGTCAAAATCCAGAGCAAGAACATCATTTCCACAGATATATTCTGGCAGTTTTCCAGACAACATTGTCCCTTCCACCAGCAAATAGTCCAAGCTTGTCAGGTTTTGGGGGAGAGTGCCAGTCATGAATGTGTTGTTCGACAGTGACAAATATATAAGATCTGGACTGAGCCCTTCAGGGAGAGAGCCAGACAGAAGAGAGTTTTCCAGAAATAGCATGGTCAATGGGGCATTCGCCAACTCAGATGGCAGTGTCCCAGTTAGGTTTGTGTTGCCAAGGGACAAACCTTCCATGTGAATATTTTGGCCAATTTCACTCGGAATTGATCCTGTGAGACTGTTTCCATCCATCCACAAGAGACTCAAGTCCGTTAAGAGGCCAACTTCAGTGGGAATAGTTCCAGTGAAGGCACAAGAAGAAAAACCAAGATAATCAGCAGAAGAGAGCTGACCAATCTCTGTGGGGATGGTGCCGGTGAAACTAGAGAAATAGAGATTCACATTGATGACATCAGTCAACAAGCCAATCTGGGAAGGTATCTCTCCTGAGAAGCCATTATACGGAAGTGACGGATAGGTGAGATTGCTCATCAATCCAATATCCGTAGGTATTGTTCCTGTGAGCTGATTCTGCCCCAACGCAAGAGTATGCCAGGAGAGATGCCAAATGGATTCTGGTATAGTCCCAGATAATGAGTTCGCAATGAACACTAGGAAATTCAAATTGGTGGCATCCCCCAGTTCTTCTGGTATGGTTCCTGTGAACATGTTTCCATCCATGGAGAATTTTTCCAGCTTTTGCAACAGCCCAAGCTCTGAGGGAACTGTGCCTTCCAGTTGAGCATTGGTGGCAAAAATTTGAGAGAGACTATCAGAAAGAAGGGCCAACTCTGTAGGGATTGTTCCAGATATCATTGTGACTTGCACGCCGAAGACTTCCAACTGCCTCAACCTCCCAATATGGGATGATATAGTGCCAGCTAGATCAGTATTCTGGAGAAGCAAAATGATTTTGAGGTTTGTTAACCAGAAGAGTTCCAGTGGCAACGTGCCTTGCAGAGCATTCGAATAGAGCAAGAGGTGTTGATAAGGGTTGTATTCCATGTGGACAGCTTGGTTGGAGCTGTTGAGCAAGTTGGGTGGGATGCCACATGGAGTGCAATCCTCCTTTCTGGTGCACTCTTGAGAGAACCAAAAACACTCATGAACTGATTGATTCAACCAGTTCTCATTGTTATACCAGTCATGCCCTCCTGTGGCATAAAAGAGAGTGGCTAGGGCGTACATTTGCCTGATCCTGCTGGTGTGGGTGTAGTTGCTTTCTTCCAAGTCTTCCAGTATCCACTCATAGGCAAGGGACTGGGGAGAGATGGGATCCTCCAGTGCTTCCAGAGTGTGATTGGACAAAGCTTCCAAAACAAGGAGCTCCACATCAGACAGATTTTGGGCATTTTCTGGAGGGAGTGGTGAGTAGGTGGGTGAGTCAGATACACTGCTGTTGGTTGTCCTCGTTGTTTCTACCAGAATTAACAAGCACAGCCACCACAATAACAAGGGCAGCAACACAGCTGCCATACATCAGTACAGGCAGCCATGGTGATTGCTTCTTCCTTTGTGCCCTCCTGTTGTCTTGCCCAGTAGGATCTAAATCTGCCACGGGAAAGTCTGCATTGTCAGATACTTGATTGGCCACGGGAAGGCCATCCTCAAGGGAAACTGGGGCTGGTTCTGGTGGTATCAATGCATCTAGGCCTTCTTCCATTTCTGTTTCTGTACCACCCGATCCTCCTGGAGCCACTGCATACGCTCCTGGATGTGATAGGTCTGGTCCTTCCTGGTTCTGGGTGGCTGATGATAAATCACCTGGTCTGCTCTCTCCCAGATTGCGGGCATCTCGTTGATTCATCCCTTGGTTTATCCCTTCACACACCAATCGATCCTTTTGGTACATTGCTGCTTCACCAACGATGAATTGATCCTTGAGCATCATTCGAGCTGCTGCATCATCCTTTTGGTGCGCTTTGGCTCTCTCGGCACCCACTAAATGATCCTTTTGGTACATTGCTGCTTCACCAACGATGAATTGATCCTTGAGCATCATTCGAGCTGCTGCATCATCCTTTTGGTGCGCTTTGGCTCTCTTGGCACCCACTAAATGATCCTTTTGGTGCGTTGCTGCTTCGCCGACAATGAGTTGATCCTTGAGCATCATTCGAGCTGCCGCGTCATTACTGGTTGACTTATTGTTGGTCGACGATGCTGTATCGACTTGATTCTGTCCTTCACTATGGACATATGGATCACTGGAAGGGGATGGTACTGAGCCAATGAGATTTTGTGATGCCTCCTGGAGAGAGGAGGTGGTCTCGGTCTGTGACACATGAGCGGACCTGAGCCCAGAAAGCTTCGCAAGCTCTGCATCGCTATACGTACCGTGACTTAAGCGGTTTACTATGTGCAAAAGGGACTCATCTTCCTCATTGGTGCTGGTTTCGTGGTTGTTCTGGTCCATTTCAATGTCTTTTTGGTTGTTGTTCATGGTCAGCTAAAATAATGTTGTGTGCATGTTCTGCCAACCTTTGGTTGTGTTTTGCTCTACGATGTAGCTACTACTATAAAGGACAAACTGAATACAGTACCAGGTACTCGAATACTCAAAAAGCGCGGCGAGGAGCACGAGACACCAGACCGTATGATAGTACGATAGTACTGGGGCGACCTCTATTTTTACCTGAACTACCTGGTCCTGTTGAACACACCACCTGACGCCCAACAGGACCTGGAAAGGCGAGCTTTCTAGAGTGTACTAGTACTATTTTAGTACGTGTACATGACATTGGAGTATTACCGGTATGATTAGAAACGAACCGTCTACTTAAGGGTCAGGCAGGGACCCGAAGGTCGGAGGTCTGACCGAGGGCTTAAGGGAGGGCGCAAGCCCGACAGCCCGATGGTCAGGCCGGAGACCGATGGGGCACAGACGTCCTTAAGTAGCTGGTTCGTTTTGAATGGAACGATAACGGCTGGTTTTGTATTTAACGGTCGGTCTGTGTAGGGCTGTGTAAAACACTACTGTACCAATACAAAACCTGCCGGTTCGTTCCGGGTAATACCGTACTGTATGCATAACGTTCGGAGTTCGGTAGCAGTGATCTCGTTTGAACAAAAATTTTCAGCGATCCTCACAATTTGCTCTGAAATCCAACTTGGTGCAAGTTGCTACAGTACGTATACGTACGTCGCTTCATTCGAAGACAATGACACGATCCTCAACAAGGCAACTATTTGCAGTGATAGTACTGTTATCATATTTCATTGATGAAGTCAGACCTGGCGCTGCCATTGAGGCAATCTCGCAGCCTTTCTTGGGTCTGAACTGGGATGTCCTGATCACAAATTGGCAGCCTCCGCAATGGATCTGCAATGTCGCCTACTACACACTGCCGGAACTCTGTAGTTCTGCGAATGCGACTAGTAATTTTTTTGGTTCACCTCGAGACAAGGCCAAGCAATGGGTTGCAGAAAACTGTGCCGCCAGTGGCTTTGTGAGTCCAGATCAACTAGCACAATTGGAGATTCTCGCCGAGTTTTACTATTCGACGGGAAACAATGACAGATGGGGACCACTCAAGAACTTGCAATGGATGACAGACTGTGATCCATGTGGAAATAATTGGGAGAGAGTCTTGTGTCATGGCACACGCAAGAATATCACACAGATTTTTCTTCGTGAGTGAACAAAGCGTTTTGGTTAGCTTTTTCTGGTCCCTTGATTCTGAGCAGTACATCTCTCACGCTTTTTAATTCTTCTGAACACTGTTAAAAGCTGACATTTGGCCACCTCTACAGGGTCCTCTACCGGTCAGCTTTGCAAATCTAACCGAACTTGAATTCTTGTTCTTGCACAACAATGCGTTTGAAGGAGAAGTGCCAGACGAGTGGGGGCGATTGTTTAACTTGAGTAAGTTATACGGTAGTGTTGATTACTATTGAGTAAAGCATGTTTTCGCCTGACATTATCTCTTCCTCCTCGGCACCGACAATGCGCCCAGATGTTGCTTACCTGCACGGGAACCGTTTGAATGGCACAGTGCCCGAGTCTGTTTGTGCTCTGCGCGACGGAAACTTGCAAGAACTCAGTGCGGATTGCGAGGGTGGTTCATCGGGGGTTAGCTGCGACTCGGATTGCTGTACCGCATGCCTGGATGAACACATTGCTCCATTCTTTTTGATTGGAGGTGATGCCGGGCCTGTCGGTTTGGGTTCTCCCTGAAGTTTCTTACTTCGTTGAAAATCGTGCGGGGTACCGGCATGCACGAAGACGCAACAATACACACTCTCTCCACGATAAACAGAACACCATTCAAGCACAACGTGAATACTATTTTGATGCATTGATGGCTTCACAGAACGCTATAATCAGGTGTGAGATCAAGTTTTCGCACAACTACGACGAAAGCAGGACATTTCGAACCCGGTTCAAGTTCATCCCCACCAAGACACAGCAAACCAATCACAACGTTTCCTCTTCCTGACGATATCACATTCGATCTGAGTTAGTTTTGATCCAGCATGAGCCACATCAAAGAGCCAAGACGATTAGCTCTAGTCATTGTCCGACAGACTTTAATACAAAAGGAAGGGGGCCCATTATCAGTGTGGTTGGTTGGCTCTGAGTTGGGTGTTTTTTTCTCTATTTGTTGTGTTGCAAACCCACGTTTGATGATGAAGTACTAAAAGTGATCAACAATAATTTTTAATGCCATAGCGAATTCCCCATATCCAACCTTTCTCTCGCTGATGCTATCTCCCAAAGAACTTTTTGAGAGAATAGGCATTGGGTCTTTGGTTAGGTTGCGTTTCAAACGTCATTATGGCATTGATACGAGGCTTTTGAGATACCACGGGTGTCACTCGATGCAAATTTCTGGCCCCGGCGAAGAACACCAGAGATCCTGGCCCCACTGGTGGATCTTGTATCCGTTGTGCCACTGGTGAATGGGCGTCGTCCGACACGTCGAGAACGTTTTGAACCTTGTCAAAACACCAGGCACTGTCATCCTCTCGGGTATTCCAGCACAATTCAAAGTCTCCTCCAAGTTCTCCAGGTTGCAACTCCAGATTGACTCCAAACTGACTTTTATCAAAGTGCCATCCCAAACCATCGTTAGGTTCGTAAAGGTTGTAGTAAGCCGCATTGTATGGACAGCCACTAGTGTAAAGTGCATCGTCCTTAATTTCCGAATCAGACCGAACCACATAGGAGACAAAGGCTTTGAGTTCCGGCGACTTGTAGAGAATGGCCAACGGAGAACTCCCTTGGTCAATTCGGTCAAAATCAATAATCCATTTGGAGCTGCGCTGGAGAGCATTTCGAGGATGATCTTGGGCAAAACTGGAATCGTTTGGTTCTTGATAGACAGTGTGATCTTCCGTACTATAAAAGCATTCTTCTCGTTGCTGCAAATTGATGGCTTCCTCCACCATTTTGTCTACCAAATCGAGTCTGACAAACTGTGGAATGTGCGCAATTCCTGTCGTAAGATAGCTGTGTCGACATTGATTTGCCAGTCTCAACAATTTGCCTTTTCTGCTCTCTGGTTCAAAGTAGGAAGATACTGATGAGTGGGACAGCAACAGCTCGGCTTGGCCGCCACGTGCAATCTCCTCAAAAGTAGATGCAACAGACGAAGAGCTTTCCTCATTGCTCCTTGTTGCCAAAAAACGCAATCTCTTCTTCCTTTGGTCATTGTTGGAAGGAAGGAGATTGGTCAAACCAAAGCCAGCAACACAACATGGTTGCAAGGCCAACAGGATGGCCAAAGGAAGAACGAGAGGCGCCATGCCGCCATCAGGGGATAAGCTAAAAGGAAGTGCAAAAGTGGAGAAAAAAGAATAGCGGAATCATCCATCATCAGATTCTGTAAACCCTGTACATGTAAGGAAGAATCGAATCGAATCGTACGATATGGAGGCCAGGAGAGTTTTCATGCATCCGACTCACAAACCAGGGGAAGTCACACTCGGAGCCGAGTGAGTAAGCTTGAAGGAGATCCAAGAATTTCATAGCTTACCCCCGTGTGGGTCTGAAGTATAACGTCTAGTTCTGTTTGCGTTGAATCTAACGGTGTGAAAGTACGTAAAACATTAAGGTGGTGGAGAATGTGGTGAACAGATTTTTTTAGGGTTAAGATTCTTTTGCTGCTGCGCTGCCTAGCATATGTGTGACTCCGTCATTTCTTAGTTTTTTGGTTTGAGTCTTTGAATTGGTTTGAGTGTTTGCACAAGATATGGATACAGTAGTGTTGTCTGGGTGGTAACAATTCCAGTCAGGACCTTAGGAATGTTACCATTTTTGAATCCTATGCCCAGTGGGCATGAGTTTCAGGGACGGTGAATGTGATTGTGTAAGCATTTTTGTGGAGCATGGGTTGTTAGAGGCAAGTCAAAGCACACCATCAAACGAAAACGAAAACGAAAACCAAACAAAAGATGAAAAGAAAGTAATAAACTGCCAAACCAGACTACCAAGCCAAATACATTATCTTTCGAATTGGTGCCCATTGGGCATGCTATTAATAACCTTAACCCTATACTTCAATGTACCTTAAATCCACATTTCTATGCAGTCATAGTTCATCTTAAGTACGTCTTGCCACCATCTACTTGAAGGCAACTTGCAATAAGTCTATAAAAAGCCTTAGTTTGACCAGTAACTGTTTTCCAATGGCATGCTCTTACTATTATATCATCATTATATTATATAAATCTAAGTAATGAACATGCTTGCCTAAGTAAATATCCAAGTTTTGCCTATGTCACATTTTGGATAAAATGTATCTATATCTGAGGACTTTATGCATTAAATAGGACACTTCCTTTTTGGCTGCTTTCTGCATTAAATTTCTCCAGCTACTAAGATACGGGTAATGCTCGATTCAGCTGAAATGCCAAAATGCTACAAAATTAGCTAAATACTCAAAATGATAGTTCTAGGCGCCACATCACCAGACAGACCCACACGGGGTTGATGAATCTTTTGGATCCAGATCAAGTGTGGGAGAAGTATCCCAAGAACACGAGAGACGAGAGGCATGGTCTCATTTTTTCTCAATAATATTGGCTTCTTTTTCTTTTGAAGTGCTTTATTGTCGAGCTTGGCAAACGGTTGGTGTGGCTGATGCAATACTAGACAATATATCAGCGCCGGACCAAGAGACAGGCGCCAACAGCTAACAAATGCAAGGTGTCAAAAGGCTCGAATGGGAATTATCACGTCTGAACAACGACCACGAGAAGAACTTTTCTGCATTCCCCGTAGACAACAATATCTTCGAGTGGCTCTGTATCCTAGATGGGCCTATAAACACTCCTTATGAAGGAGGGAAGTTTTCTGTACGAATTGTGTTCCCTGACACGTACCCCTGGAAGCCGCCCAGGGTTTGGTTCGAGACGCGCCTCCTTCACCCAAACATTTCCCCCGCTGGCCGAGTCTATGATGATATGTTCGACCTTGCTTGGACCCCGGCATTTACTGTCCAGTACATTATGAAACATCTCGCTGAACTTATGGAGGCTCCCAACGTACTGTAGGAGACAAAGAGTGGGATTTGGTAATCTTCCCTGCTGCGGGGGAGCTTCTAAAAACGCATCCAGCTGTCTATACTGAGCTTGTACGAGACTTGACCCTTCATTTCGCCGTCGACGACACCAATGCCCAAATCCGCAATGCTGTTGACAGGGCCACAGCTAACACTGAGATGCTTCGTTGGGACCAAAGGAGGGGATACTTTTACAAGACACAGGAGAGCATCACCATAGTAGATGCTCCATTCTCGTTTCTGGTGGCGATTTCGGACGGCGGTATGCGACCCTCACAAGGTGGCATTGTTACAGCAACAAACACGAGAGACCAAGTCGAACAATGGATTGTTCCTAGTGACTGGCAGTGCACTCGCCTTGATGTGACTGGAGGAGGCTGCCCTCAGGCTGGTTCTGTTTTCCCAACCCATTGGGGAATTACTCTGGACCAGTTTCACGGAATACTAGAGGAGTGCGGCTTCTTCGGCCCTTGTCCCTGTGATGATATGGATGTGTACACTTTTGTGAAGACGTGTGTATTGCCCCGAACCAAACGAACAGGAATGGGCATGGCTCTAAGACTCAACAAGGACAACCCTCTTGAGGTTTCTGTTATGGTAATCCACGCCTGGGCCGAAGGCATACTCGAGTGTTACCACAGTTTGTGCGCCTGTGTTGACAGGACAGAACCAATGTTCCTGTGCTTTCTTGCGCTCTATCAAAATGAAGATATTCCAGAGCTGACGATAGAGAAACAGTGCGGACGCGATGCTCGCAAAGGGCCCTTCGCCCAAGTACTCTACAACCTGTGTGTGAAAAGCCAAAAGGATTCATTGGATAAAGGTCAGATGGGTTCACCTCGAGTTGTTGTTGTTCCCACTAAGAACTGCAACTTGTATTCCAGATTGTGGTGTGTGTTCGAACTCTATATTGCTCTTGTGGTGCGATTGCCGGTCGTTGTTGCCGGTAACAATAAATTGATCGATACGACAGTGAGCGTGCGCAAGGCTAGGTGCGGCAACCCCAGCAATCCTCCTAACGATGACGAGCTATCTATTCGCAGCTCGATTGAAAGCATGTACAGGGATCTGGGTTACCATCTTATCGACAAACAAGTTAGGGCATTTCTATCTGACGACCAGCTTTCAGTTGGACTTCCCTTTCAATGGTAGCTCTGCCGTCAACCCACACAACCTAAAACCGCCACCAACCGTGGATCCAATTCCTCACTTTATTTCAATATTCGTAAGCAACATGTAGTATGTGCCTATCTTCTGCTCCCCTGTAACACGCATTGACTCCGTCGTGGTCATGGAGCAGTGGACATTTATTTCACTCAGTCAGTGTTACATACGCGGACTATTTACAGCTGCAGTCAGCAGCCAACTCTAGTATGTATCATGAAGGTAACCAATTGAGAGATGCATGCCATGGAGCCTACTCCGGTGCTGACTCTTGCGTGACTTGGACTGTAAGCTGGGAAATGGTACCGGTAGTACTTTGCTGCTGGCACTGATCTTCTCCTCCTTATGCCGGAAGCAATCCCTGGCGCTGGGACTCCAACGTGAGTCTCACCAGGAGCATGCCCGAACTCGGACGTCGCATTGCGACCGACGAGCGTAGAACATAATATCAAGGCCTCAGCTAACCCCCTCCATTACGATGTACCGGTACAGTAACAGTAGACCTACAAAATACATAAACACGGCTTTCACTATCTTATTTGTCCCCTCGGTAGCTACGAACTCGACCGAATCCACATTCATGTGGAGCGGCGCTACCAAATCACACACAAAATCTGCATCTCGTTTGATTGAATAATTTGTTTTGCTTCCCGAGCCACTCCATGGCCCGAGTTCGTGGCATTCCTCTATGTTTCTTTCTTGGTATCAGTGGTTCCGAACGTGAAGACTTCGTTGGTCATGCGAGCGACTTCCCAATTTTGTTCCGTGTCGTTGAACGCCAGCGTGACTTTGTAAGACATTGTCGCGCCTCCAAAAAAGTCCACGAGGGGGGCATGACGAAGCTTTTCCTCTTCCATGCGCCCATAAGAATTGAGCGACACAACTGCCTTGACCTGATGACCGTGGACGGTGCCCAAGGCAGCCAAGAGCTCTTTGCGCGTCCCGGTCTTGAGCTTGCACGCTGGCCTAGGACAATGACACACCTTGCCAAAGAGCTCCGAGTTGGAAGCACGAAGCTGCGTGGTGGTTGGAACAGGTCCGACCTCGGTGACAGCCCCCCATAGACGACCGCGCCCTCCCATGGGCAGTTTGACACGGATGCACACAAGTTTTCCAACCTCGGGCTTTCGAGAGACAATGACTCTTTCATGCTCTGCTCGTTGTCAATGCAAAACTTGGAATCACGATACCAACCCAACCCGGCATCATCCGCCAACAAGTCCTTGTTCAGAAGGACCTCAATTCCAAAGGGCGGAACGTCAATGGGATATTCATTCCCGTAATCATCCATATCGTAGTTGTCGTCCGGGTCAAAGTCATCATCACCAAGGACATCGGCTTCGATCAATCCAAAATGCATGAGCGCGTTGCAGGCCAGCTCATAAACTTTCATATCCTCCAAGGATGTGTCGCCCACGTTTCTGTTGTTCCCAAAACCCATCATCATTTGGTGGGTCTTTTCGTTTCCCTCGCGGACAGCTTGACGCAATGCGGGCAGCGCACTGTCGGCTTGGAGAAGGGCTATTTTGACAACCGCATGATGGCTGGCATTGGCCAAAAAGTGCAAGGCTCCAATACCTTCGCTTTGGACCATCTTGTTCTCGGGATGAGCCAGCACGCCCTTGCCAACCAAATCGACAATACCCGCCATGACGAGTTTTGTTTTGAGCACGTCGCCATTCTCTCGTGTGCCCCAAGAGGGGCCCGTGGCGTCGTCTTGCTGGCCGACCTTGGGGTAGCCGGCCAAATTATAGAGCCACCCCATGGCAGCCCAATTGACTTGCGCATCGCTGCGATGACGCTTCATACCATCGGCAACAATGCCAATCACACCGGAATCCACCATGGGCAACAACATGCCCTTGATGTTGGCAACTTGTTTTTACAAATCAAAGAAGGCAGGAAGAAGTTTGTTAGTAATAGAAGAGAGTACGACCAATATCACCGAACCACAACAAACCTCACTCACTGTTACAAAGCGCACAAAATCCAGCCTCTTGCACCACTGGGTTGTTTGGAAACTTGGTCAAGGCTTCAAGGATATTGGGGACCGCGTTTGCCTCCTGATAGTACCTCGCTGTCTGCAGTTGAGAGGCCATGGCATGAAAAAGCCACATCCAACCCTTTGTAGGGTAACTTCGGTGGCATGTGCCTGCATAGTTTCCGACACTACTTGCATTCCTCCCGCGTTGACAATGGCAAATTGGCGCATGGAGTGGGCCTTGGCAGCCACGGAAAGCTTCTTTGAGGATGAACAACAAGTGCAACCATTGCTGAAGAGCAAGTGATGAAGAAGAGAAATTGAATGTCACTGTTGTCGACATGACGGCGCATGATACCCACAAGCAATGCCAAACCATTGGAAGGACGTGGCTTGGCCATAGCAGCAGCAGCAGAGGCCGTAGGAGCCATGCAACGAGACTTGTGTCCGCATTGCTTCCAGTGCAATTTTTGACAATGTTTGGAACAGTACTGGGCTACCTTGCAACGGGAGCACTTGGAGAGTGTGGGCTGTTGCTTGCCACACTGAAAGCACAAGATAATGCCACAGATGGTGTTGCGATTGGCTTCGGCACTCTCAGGAGGCTGGTGGCTTTCAACGCTGTTCAGGAGAGCGTTCAGCAAGAAGGCGACAATGGTCAAATCACCTTCTTCTGTCCTTTCCAGTTGTCGGATGAGAGGTGGAATCCAGACAGGCTCAACGGGAATCATTTGGGTCATGTTCCTGATCAAAAAGGCGGCGTCTTTCGTTAACTTGGGAAACGCAGGACTGTCCAAGATTCCATAAAGAGTAGCTTCGACGATCCCCTTTTCAGCCATCCTATTGGAGAGATCCCTGGCCAAGTGATCTCCTCGAAGGCAGGGGCTGGCGTAGTTGACCAAGATCCCCAAAATGGTGGCGGCATCGTGTTCCGAGATTCCGCCATGGCCGCCTGCGCTGCCGCCCGAAGAAATGTATGCACGAACGTGATGGATCAAGGGAGGGATTGTCATCTCCAACAAATGCCGAGGGGCCGAATGCGTAACGGACATGCCCACCATGTTGTTCAAGGCTTCGGCCCGAGGACTCCCGCGGCTGACGCCGGTTGGATCTTCCGCTTCAGCAGCGCCATTGAGAGCTCGAATCCATCGCTCCAACATGAGACGAGCCGCTGCATCGTCAGATTGCATCGTCTCTTCAGTAGGACGAGGAGGCGAAGGAACGCACATAATACTTGTCTGATGAATGCAGATGTCTTCTCTTAACTTTGGCAGCCAACACGCCAACACCACGGTTCTTCGTTTGCTTTTTTGGCAAGTTTTTTGGATTATGACGAAAGATCGAAAGGATCCAATTGAATAACAATAATATTGCGGTACATGTTTTACGATTAGTGGCACGTGGCCAAAACTAAATGACTCGTCACTCTAATTATATAAGTGCCCCCTTTTCGGAGTTGTGACCTTGCGTGACGCGTCTTCTTTTAAGCTTCTGAGTAAGACTTGACCTTGGCTTTAATTAAGATTGAATTCAATCGAGTGAAATCACAGTTTTTTAGCGCACTAGTCTAGCCAGTCTAATAGGGTAGATCTGCAGCACCCGTATTGTATGGTCGAAAGGAAGTCATCTACGGACGATACTGTAGTTGGGGTCTTTGTGGAAGTCTCGTTTGCACACTGGGGAGCCACAGGAAATACCGGCCGTACATGGACTTTCATCCTTCAAGAAGCAACCCACATCCCAGGAGATCCATGCTGCAATCAATATGAAGAGCTCAGGTCACAGCAAAGTGAGCTCAGCTGGAAACAGAGCTGCAAGAAGCTACTATTTTTGCTGGACGTTTGTGGAATGAGATAAAAGGACTCCTTGGAAACAGTCTTTGGTCATCCGAAACACAGGTAGACCACGACTGCAGTTTCTAAACCTGGAATGACAACAATGTCATAAACAATCCCATCTCATAGTACCTGTAGTACTTCAACTGACCCGTAGCAGCAAACCCAGAAGAAGAATGCCCCAGACGTCATACTCAGGACTCGGGGCACCTCTATCGCAGTCCCTAGATCCGGCAAGCAACCTGCCCAACGACTAGTCACACCAGCCGTGCCACCCCTCAGAATCCGATCTCTCAAACTCATCGCTGAAGATTGGCGAGACATTCTCTAACTTGGTCTATTTACTTAAGCCGTAATTTTGTTTCTACTGATTTACGGATTCTGCTTTTTACGCTTACTACTATGTGACACACATTACTTAGGGGGCGCTGCGACCTCACCCTTTTTTCCTCTCACATTCACTATTCGTTGCATCCTTTCCGGCTCTAAACATCTTCTTTGGTCTTCTTCTTGGCGATGGCCCTGGCATGATTGACAGCAGACGGCAGATTGGATGCCTTCAGCGACATCATCATCCCAACACTCTCCATTTCGTTGGCGATCTCTCCAGCCGAAAGCTCCATCAGTCTCGGGTTGTAGACGAACTCGTTAGTTAGGTCCTTTCTCACGATCCTAATGATTTCATCGATCCTTGTTTTGCCTCCTGGTGGGAGCTTCGGCTTCTTTGTTTCTTCCTTCTTTTTCTTTTCTTTCTTTGGTTCTCCCATACGGTGAGGTGTTCCCGGCCCTTTCTTCGCTAAAATCCTAGCGTTGTTCTCGGATTCTTCCATGAGCCACTGCTTCAGTGTCCCTTCTTCGATGTCTGACTGGTACATTTCCTGTTGCGTCGAAAACGAATCCGGCGATCCTTTTTTCCAGCGACGGTCCCACCAGCCCAATCGGTGAGTTTTGGTTCTGCTCGTGACGAAAACATCTGCCAGTAAGAACATGAATGGCGACTCACCAGGTTCCATGTGTCCTCCGGTAAAGTTTCCTGCGCCGTCCTGTTCCGCCATGTTCTGGGCAAGCTGCTGGTTGATTTGCTCTTCAATGGAGGGCACGTGGGCATTGGAGAGTTTGTTGGGTGGCGCTACTGACGGCGTCAGGGGAGGCCGCTTCGCTGTTCTCTTCTTTTGTTCCACATTCGGTTTCTCATTCTCCTTTTCCGGGGTTTCAAACAGGCGGTCGTCTTTCGGCTTTCCACGGGCTTTCATTGGCGACGTTGGTGGCAGGACCTGGGGGGAAGCTTAGGTTAAGAAACCGAATATGCCGTCCTGGTTCGGCGACGGCGGTGTCTTTGGAGTTGGCGACATTATGCTCCTACCTCGCAGAGCATACCTCACGCGACAGTACTGGTTTGACATTTTTTTGTGAGCGAGCGACAACAATCAACCATGGTGCCAATTCGGCGGAGGGAGCCCCCTTGGATGCATTGCAACTTTGAATTTTGAATTTAAAAATGCAATCCAATGAATCTTTGCCACGCACGGGCTATTAAAGTCGCTCCTACTACAACAATCTACAGTATTGGGGAGGATCGGGTCGGCTCTTTCTGCACTAAGAATGGAGCCATCATAATGGCGGATGGTTACATAGATGCTTCGAGATGGCATCTCCCAATCTACATTATCCAGTAGTTAAAATGATATTTAATAACCGGCTCTGCCGGACTAGTATGTCTGTCATCTCCAATTGGCATCCTTGCTCGTTTTGGCGCTATTGTTGGCGGCAATCCATCGCTGGCATCGCCTCTGTTTTTTGTTCGTTGCTTTTTCTAGTATGGTTACATAGAGCATAAAATTCCATCGTCCGTGTCTGTTTCTCTATTCTGTCTATCTGTCGGCACTTCATTCCTCTTCCAAGTTACCCCGATGCCGCCCAGGGGGTCCTATCGGCCATGGTGGAGGCGAAGGCGTCGTTCCAATCGAAACCGGACTCGCCATGACAACATCCACAGAAGGGGAGATGGTACCCTCAGTCGGGGTCAGAGGCGTCGCCGTGCAGAGCGCGAGATACACCAACTTGAAGACGGGGGTGTCATGCCTTCATTCGTCGAGTTGGAACCCATCCTGACAGATGAGTCCAAGGCTGTTGATTACTTTTACAAGCAAGGAGTCATCATGCCCTCGTTGCACCCGTCAACTCAAGTACTCTCCCAACAAGAGAAACACAGTCCGATGCAGGGCATTCAACTGCCAGTTCATCATTCCTACAACCTGTGACCAATGCAGCGGTGAAATGGTTGCGTATCACACCAACAACGGTGACCTTTTGTCAATGCAATGCCAAAACAGTGCATGTCACTGGACCTGGAAGGCGACCGGAACCGGTTTCGAGGTGGGAATCCAGAAGGGAAGTGTTCTGCAGAACGTCAAGATTCGGAAGAACCAGGTGCTATGGATTGCCTACTTGTGGCTTTTGAAGGTGCCAGCTAGAACAGCTGCAACTTTGGTAGGTGTTTCTGAGGGCACTGTTGGGACCTGGTACCGGCACTTTCGTCGTATGGTCGTCGAAATGGTCCTACAGTGCGACAAAGACGATTACATGCTCGGTGGCCCTGGATGCGTCGTCGAGGCAGACGAAGGCAAATTCGGAAGGCGCAAGGACAATCGCGGACGCTGCGTGAACTCTGACTGGGTGTTCGGTATGGTGGAAAGAGGCGGCGAGAGAAAGCTGGCATTAGCGGTTGTGCCCGACAGAAAGGCGAACACATTGCTCCCCCTTATCATGGCCTTCATTCGGCCAGGAACGACAATCAACACTGACAAACACGGTGGGTATAACAAAATTGGAGAACTAACAGGCTACGATTACACCCACAGGACACTATGTCACAAATATGAATTCGTCGCGGCAGATGGAACGCACACGCAAACAATCGAAGGAAACTGGAGGGTGTTGAAAAAGAACGTCCCAGAGTCACAGAGAGAAGGAAGCAACTTGCAGGAGTACCTGTACGAGTGCATGTGGCGACGCAAACATGCGAAACACCTGTGGGCATCTTTCCTGGAGGGTCTAGCGAGGCTACGTTACAGGCCGGAGGACATCGACCGTCTATGGGAATTACGCGAGGAAAATGAAGAGTCATGGAGTCCCGAGGAATCTTCCAGTGATGACTCTCTGGAGTATGATTCCAGTGCCACCGACAGCAGTTTGAGTGAAGTATCATCGAGTTATATGGTTATCCAGTTAGTTAATGAGTTAGTTTAAGTGGTAGAGTGGCTGTGAGTGTCATTATCTCCGTTTATAGTAATATCCATTATCCGACACCCATTCCCTGTTGGTGTTTGTTGTTTGCTTTTTCGAGTTGGATATCGGTTTTTACTATCGACGTACCTTTTCGCTAACAGTCTTGCAGGTTGGTAATTAGCGATGAACCGGTTGCATCCAACATACTAGTCTGCAAATTAGAGTACATCGCCAGGGTACGTGAGTCGCTTTTTTAGTAGGATGTTATTTAGGACAGGGCTTAAGCGTCAGCGGTCCCGGTATGTCACAATCGCCATTTACATGGGGAATGCGTGACAACGGCGCATGTGTTTGTTATAGATTTCTGTTGGTTTGTTAACAAACTCTGTTTGCCGGTTAGCAGAGAATACAAACGTACAGTGTTCAGTACATTTTCTTTGTAAGTAGGCAAATCAGTTTTGTTCGCTGATCGAACGTCATGGGATCGCTCGCTTAAGTGATTAGTGGACGGTTGTAATCGTTGATTCGTTACTTTCCGTCTTTGGCGAAAGGTATCCGGTACTGATCCTACGAAAACAACGTAAATCTGGACAAACCCGACCATTTTTTTAGATCACAATCACAATTTCTTTCCTCCCCGACGAATCTATGTCTTTTTTTTTTACATTCTCCAACAAAATAATGGTCGACAATGGTGCATATTCCCCTTCAATGACGGCCCATAATTGTAATGAAAGATGGTGAAAAAATGGTACGTTCAACCTATTTACTCGTATTGACAATGATGATCACTCCCCAGCATCCGTGAAGTTGGAAAATACAATTCTTTTGGGTTTGTCCGCTGGCATGAATGATCGTTGACTTCAACTCACGCCGGCCTTTTTTGACCGTTCCCTCATAGGCTTGTCCCTGCCACGTCAGGGGCATGGCCGTTGGAGGTACCCCAAAGACTTTCACTCAGTTTCGTTGTCACCGTCACTTTCAGCTTCGCTTTCAAGGTCGCTATCAGCGTCGCTGTCGATGTCACTTTCAGCTTCGCTGTCAAGGTCGCTATCAGTGTCGCTGTCGATGTCGCTATCAGTGTCACTTGAAGATTCACTAGAACTGTCACTTGCACTTTCACTGTCAGGTTGGTCAGGACATCCATTTGCACGACACCACTCCAGAACTTCCTGGTGTCCTCCAACCTGTGCATTCTCAAATGTCATGTGATCCCAAGGACAACCTCTGGACCGGGCCCATTGGATAATGTCCAAATATCCATGCCACGCTGCCATGGCACATGTTTCTTCGTTCCATGGACACCCCTTTTCATGTGCCCATTTCACAATATCAAAATGACCTTGTCCCGCTGCACCAGAGCATGTTTCTTCATCCCATGGACATCCGTTTTCGTGCAACCATTTCAGCACTGCAAAATCACCCTTCCAGGCAGCAACAGCACAGGCATGTTTATCCCAATGACAGCCATTTTCATGAGCCCATTTCAGCACATCCAAACGCCCACTGCCAGCCGCTTTCAAACATGTAACCTTATCCCAAGGACAGCCATTCTCACGCAACCATCTCAAAACGTTGAGGTGTCCACTCCCGGCAGCAACGGCACACACCATGCTATCCCAAGGACACTTTTGTCCACGGGCATATTTCAGGACATCCAAATGTCCCTTCTTTGTGGCCATATAGCAAGTCAATTCGTCCCATGAAAAGGACTTTCCACGAGCCCACTGTAGTGACTGGAGATTCCCAGCACCAGCAAGGGAAGAACAGATTTGAGACTGAATTGTTTCTCTCGTGGATTTGATAGAGCCAGGATCATAGCCATTTTCTTCTTGTGTGTATTTCATCATCACTTCATTGTACCAATACTCGGAACTGTGGACACTGAAAAATGCAGCACTCAGGAACGTGTGAGTGTTTTCCGTGTTTTGGATGCGGTCGTGGCTGAATTTCCGATTGATGGTCCATGGAGGATTATGTACCGTCTTGCAGAACGCCATGTACAGTTCCCTCATGTGCTTGCTCACACTTCCCAGAATGACGTAGTACCCCATTCCCAGAAAAGGAAGGATATTGCCGATCCAAATCTCCTTTTGTTCCACCAATGAAGAAAGCACGGTAGTTCGCTGTCGTTCCTTGAACTCGTTCACCACGGCTGCCATGGCATCCAATCCTTCATTCAATTTTCGAAATTCTCCATTGTTCTCCATCTGCCGGAGAGCCTTCTCACAAGTGGAAAGAGCATTGCTAAAATTATTGGATTGACAAGGAGTATCGCCATCAGAGGCTGTGGCATCAGCAGCCTTCGGATCGGCAAGTTTTGCCTTTTTGGCACTGGGCTCGTCCAAACAAGACATGGTTTTCTGACCGGGCTAAAAAATAAGTTATTTGTTGGGAATCGAATCAGAGAGTTCGAGAGAGAGAGTTTGTGATGATGTTGACGAAGAAAACAAACTTGCGAGAGATCGCCTTGGGCTCCGTCGTGCCTTCCGTTGGCTTCCAATGATGATTTAGCGCTAACCTTAACCATTTTACACCTTTTCCGGAAGATTTCTCTGTTCGGTCTGCCTGCCATCCGGTTTCAGGGTCACAATAAAAATGCCACGACAGCTGCCACGGTTGGCAGGGACAGCTTTGCTTTGGCTTTGTTTTCCGAGCCCTTTCTTGGCCTCACAAACCCACCAACACAGCCTCCAGCAACCCAGACCACTCTGTACCACCGTGTCGCTACGCTACTCTCTGTCCTTTCGACTCTTTTGTCCTTTGTATCAATCAATCATTATCATCATGTCAGAAGACCGCCATGCTTTTTCGGAACCTCGTGCCATTGTTGGTTTGCCCTTGCCAACATGGGACGTGGACGTGTTTCGAGATGGCGTTCCCGAACCGATTTTGACGTTGCGGGTCGACGAGACGACGTTGCCGCCGCGTCGATCCAAGAAAAAGAAAATTGTGTGGAAGCTTCCCGATTCACTCGACCAGATTCCTCGGTTTGGAGCCGACGAGAAGCGTCGACTCTTGGATTTGTTCAAGAATCTCAAGAAAGAGAAACGACGCAAATCCAAGCGCGGCAGTTTGACCGGCGACGCCTTGACGGAAAGCGGTGGTGAGGAAACCAATGAGGACTGGACAGCAAGCACCAACAGCACGAATGGCAAGAACAACGAACAAGACGAGGAAGAAGAAGACGTGATTGCCAAACCCAAAAATGGCAATCATGCCATGACCAATGGACACAATAAGGAGAAACCGTCTCCTCCTCCTGTGAAGAATCCTCCCGATTTGGTGGACGAAAAGCCGCTTCCGCCACCACCAAATCAGAAACAGAAACAACAGCTACAGCCACCACAAAAATTCACGTCCAAGCCTCCTCCTGGAATGACCTTGACGCGTCGTAATTCGGCGCCATTGCCACCCGGAATTCCTCCACCAGCTGCAGCCCAACAAGGAACCACCAACGGAGTACATGCGCCAGTGTCTCGTGGGAGGTTGTTACCAACCACCGCCTGGAATTGGAATGTCAGAGCCCAATCCATGCCACTCGAAGACACAGAACCACCACAATCCACACCACCTCAAGCAAAACAAAAACAACTTCCACAACAACAAGAGCCACCACCACCACCATCTATACAACCACAAAATGGACATTCCCACAATCATCATCATCATATACCACCATCACAGCCACCACAACCATCACGGCCATCACAACCGCCACAAGAAATACCACAGTCACATTCTCTGTCTCCACCAGGAGGACCCGCCATTAATCCTTCAGCGGTACTACCTTCCATACAGCCGCTAGCACTCCCACCCGCACGATTTTTGAAATTCCCCACCACTACAATGTCACCCGATTTGTTTGCCCAACAAGTCGCCAATTTGTACATTTCCCTATTACAGAGTGGCCAAGTCGAAGAATTACTCCTCTACTACACATTGACAGCACAAAAATCATTGTCGTTGAAATCCGCCAAGAGCATGTGTCACACGCCATCGGAAATGAAAATTCAACTCACGTCCCTCGTCGGATGTGCCTTTGCCGTACAAGGTATCACCGTACAACAGGGAGCCATGAACTCGCTCTTGTTGATTTGGTCGGGGATTTGTCAATTGGCGGGACAACAACATGGATTCTGTCAAACCATCATTTTAATGCCGCTGCTGCCGGTAGTCGATACAACCAATGGAAGTGACCATTCGAATATTCAATATCAAATTCAAAATGATGCACTGGTGCTCTTGACCAATGATTGAATCAGGTTTGAGTAAGAACTCGTGGCATGGTTGGTACGCACCTCTCCTGCCCTGGCTAGCTAATAAATAATGTCAACCGTAGCATTTCACAATCCTACTGGTACCGTGCATTATCCTAACGGTCTCGTCAGCACAATATATTGGAGCAACCCAACGGGTTTGTGGTTCGTTCGTTTGAGACCATGTCCTCCCGCTGTCGAGGAAGACTATGGTGGCGTACGATCATGCAAGAACTCTTTCCCAAATTACGTACCGTGAACAACGACGATGAAAATTGGACAACACGACACAACACGAAATACAGAATGCATTTCCATCAACCACATCATCCACCACAAACAGGAACCAAGAGCTCGATGAAGAGTTTTTCCCCATGCCCACGAAACGCAATACGCAGAAGCTAGCTATAAGCTAGATGGATCGTTGCAGACACTAACTAAGTAACGCGATTTGGTGTTGCAGCGAATGAATCTATGGTCTACGTTATTATGAATTGTTGCGAAGCTCGAGGTTGATCAGTGAGTACCGGTAGCTAGCTGGTGACTGATTGACTCACTCCTTTGTGATAGTCAGACAATGGAAGGGGCGTCCTTGACGAACGTTGCAGGAGATTCTTGGACCAACCCAGTCGAGTTGCAACAAACCCCGTGCTGGTCTCGATAATCGGCCGTATGTCGCAACATTTGTGACACGGTAAAGCAGGGACAGATCAGACTGCAACAGACATCTTCGCATCCGGAATGGGGACAACACACATTTTCCGAGTCTGGAATGGAGAATCGAGCCCGCATGTGACTGCGAATGTTGCGCAATACCACCACAAGAAAGGCCACGTGCATGTAAAACAAGAGATCATCCAATGCCGTGAAGAAAAAGTACGAAGATGGTGGTTCAATGTACAATTGTTCTTTTGGATTGGCATTGGGGTCCAGATAGGCGTAGATGAAAAATAGAACCGCGCGGACGCTGTAATAGGCGAATAGAATCATGACAATGGTTTGAAATGCCACGGAAACTTGAGCAATGTTGGCGGCAGGGGCACCGTACCAAGTTAGTTGCAGCCGCGTAATCACCTGCCCCGCTGCCACTGTTGAATGGGACGAAAGAGAGCAACAAGTGAGCATGGACGTTGCATGGGGACAGATCAATCTCTATGCACAGAAGACAATCATCATCTCAGTGAACGACACTCACACAGAGGACAGCACACGGAATTCCAAAGGGTAACATGGCAGGGTCCATGTGCACATATCCGCCAAAATCCATCCCGCCAATGCCCCATAGGAAGGCCGGAAGCATCTCCCTTGGGACCTCTTTGACTTAGAAAAATATCCGTCAGTTCCGTGGCAGCCGCAGGAGTAAAGAGTTCGCCTTCAATTACCCCTCCCTTGGGGATTGTCACAAGTATCGGTCTCCCATTGACCTCTGTTTCCATTTGATAGCCACCAGGCAAATCCGAAGGAGCTTCGACTTGAATATCTTTACATGGAATTGCTTGGTTCAGCTGAGAAAAACAAGAAAAGAAAATGCAGAACAGAGAATTGCAGGTTGGTGAGAGGAACTGAACAATCTTCAACTAAGTTGTCTTCCTTGTCAGGATTCCAGGCACCAACTTTTACTAACAAACAGTCTGAACCAAAAAGGTCGTACTCCCTCTGAGAGAAAATTAGCAGTTTTTGTTTTCACTGCCAATCACCTGAATGCAGCTCTAGAGCCATGAGGCCACAGCCAGCCATACAAACTGCCGGCCAAAAGCCAACAAGAATGATTGATTGGCCGGGCCCCAGCATCCTAGGCACATTGGCTCGAAATCTCTGAGCAAATACTCGTTTCATCCTCGGGAACGAACAAACTACCGATCGAAAGCTGGCTGTTTGGTAATCCTGAGCACGGCTTACCTCGGATTGTGCTCCCGACAACAGAGTTTGATCCTCTTGTATTGTGGTGGAAACATCATCTGCTTGTTCCATCGTAAATGACGCCGCCAACGACGACGATGACGACATTCGAAACCGAGCTGACATTGTTTGGCCAGACAGATGTAGTGGTATCACCCAGAGCTGAAGGTTGATGGTGTTGCTGTGTTGTTGTGGGCTTGGACCAACGCTGGTGTGTTGCAAAGTTTCTACAGTACAGGGTCATCCTTGGTTATCCTGGTGAAGGGAAAGAGTTATGATTGAGTCTTTGCCTCGAAACCTTCGTTCAACATTCAACTCCAGTCGCGGTGCCGAGCCACCGGTACCGGTACAGCTTTTCAAGTCCTTTGTCAGCTTGTTACCCAACACCGTTGCTAGCTATCTTAGTAAGGTGTAGCTGCCTAACCAAAGCTCAGAGTTTGATTCATATGCCCAGCTACCGTACCAACCAGCCACATCTATCAGTGCAAAATCAAAATAGCCACTACCGGTAGCGAAGTTTGAACAGTTGGAGGGCCACTGTCCCGCCAGAGGAGAGCCCCAGAAAGCATGTTTCTGGCACCATTTCATCGAGCTGATCCAACTCAACTCCTGCTTGGTACATGCACTATTTAGAAGTGGTGTCTCGATGGTGCTAGTATGGTACCGGTAGATCTATTCTTCAGTCTGCATCTATCTGGTTTCAGGTAAATTTGGTATAGATTCGATTGAATGATCGAATCGAATGATGAATCGAATCGAATCGAATCGAATCTGAATTCAGATGGGGTTCGTGGTTCGGGGTTCGTGGTTCGAGACGATGATGAAGGGCTCGTCTGGAGTCTCATCAGTCACAACATGGATCTTTCTCACTGATTATTGACGGACCCGGGAAGGAAGTGTTACCTTTCCTAATTCAATAAGCACTTTCAAGAATACATCTTCCCATTTCAGCAATCTGCGGGAACGACCTCTGCGATTTTGTTTGGGCTATCTGAGGAGGATCCTTGAAACCACATTTTGTGAATTGGTGTTGATGGACTTCGGCCCCAGTTCAACCATGTTGTTCGAAGATATTGATTGGTACAGTTGCCAGGCAGTCTTTGGAGTGGCTGTTTCTCTATTTGCCAGCCTGATAGCTACATCCTATGTCATTCAGCAACTGTCAGCGAAGAAAAAACCTTGGAAGACAGTTCCTGGTTGGTTGCCTCTGATTGGCAATTTTCACCAGATGGATGGCGGATCAAGGCCGGCAATGATTCAAACTCTGGAGAAATGGGCAAACCAATACGGAACTGAGACGGGGTGCTTTGAATGTGATCTACTGGGCAGAAGAATGCTGGTGGTTTGCCGCGAAGACCGTGCGAAGGAAATACTATCTCAGCGGCCCTTCAAAGTCACTCGCAGCGCAGATGTTCAAGAAGCTGTCAACAGTGTAGGGGCCACAGGAGTTTTTGCTGCTGAAGGAGATCAGTGGAGGCAGGAGAAGAAGCTTGTATCCTCTACTCTCAACAAAATTCACATGCAGGACTATGTACCTACTCTTATGGACTCTGCGCTTACTCTAGTAAAAAAGTGGGAAGCCCAAGTCAAGGAAAGCCCTGATGGTGTGGTCTTTGTTAAGCAAGATCTGGGACATGCCCCTGCAGACACTGTGGGCAAGGTGTTTCTTGGGAAGGACTTGAACTTCTTGCACCATCCCGAATCTGATGTTGCTGAACTTGTGACTCAGGGTTTCAAAGCAATCGAACGGCGTTTTTTCTGTCCAATCAATTACTGGCGCATTCCTATTATTGGTCAAGACCTTGATGGATATGGGAAGTACCTTCGCAGAGGAATGGCAATCATCAGTCAAGTAATAAAGGATTTTGAAGCTGAACGTGTTGCTAACTCCAAGACCCAATCAAAGATGTTTCTTTCCAAACTCTATGATGCAATGGAACAAGAAAAGTCCAAATTGGACCATGAGAGAATTATAGGAAACGTTGTCACTGCATTTGCTGCAGGTAAGAGTGATTGTCAGTTGCTGGCATGTCTTTGGCTCTTGGTGTTCACTAACTCAGTGATGTTTCGTTGGCATCAACACAGGTGTTGACACTACCTCCTTGACATTGCTAGCAGCTTTGTACATTCTGGCAACCAACAAGGAAATGCAGGCTGAATTGAGAGATCACATCATGACCTTTGATTTGGAGGCAGCTAAGCTTGAAGACTACTACTCCAAAGCACCTCTGCTCAAGTCATTCCTGCATGAAGTCCATCGATACCATTGTACTCCAATTATGGGATTTCAGCCCACCCAAGACATCCCCTTTTGTGGTACAACCTTGCCCAAAGGTTCTAGGATCCTGCTCTTTTTTAGACAAGTCATGGTCCAGAAGGACTCCCCTGCTGAAGGCGTCCCATCTGGCCCTGATGATGCACCACCAAATGTGTTTTCTCCTCGACGATATCTTGTGCCTGTCAATGAAGACAGCCCCGCCAACAGCAAGGAACAACAGTGGCAGTGTGTTGACCCATTGACCAAGGGATTGTCATTTCTCTCCTTTGGCCATGGGGTTAGATCCTGTCCTGGAAGGTCCTACACAGAAATCTTTTCCTATGCTTTCTTGGTCAAGATGCTACAGACATTTGAATTTGAACTAGCACCAGACCACCCACCAGTGAAGATTGTTGCTGACACTCTCATGGCTCCAGACAGAGACATCCAGCTCAAGTTGACCCCTCTAGCTAGTAACAAGAGCTAGGGGGTGAAGTTGACCGTCATGTAGCCAGATCACACAACGGTGGCCCTCGAAAAATGACTGGCTCTCTATAATATATATAGGATGAATCTATTTAGTTGTGTTGATCTTCTAAACTTTCTACGTGCTCGAAGCAATTGCAGCTTCCACTTTATTCTCGGTCTCAGATGGTTTGTCTTGCTCGGGAGGAGCCAGCTCTTCCGTCTTGACATTAACCCTAGCCCCGGCATTGTACCTCCAATCATCCAGCCAGGTGGACCAGGTGGGAAGCGCCGTTGATTTGCCGACGGTAAAGTTGATAACTTTGGATACAATGGCACTGGTCATGGCTCTAGAAAGCGCGGCCCGAAAGTCGGTGCTCTTAGACATCATGGCTTCGACTTGTTCGAATTTCCATCTCCAAACGAGGCAGTCCTCCACTGCAACAATCGTATACCGATTCACGGGCTTGTTGGACACTTTTGGTTTCGATTCTGGTGGCGGTGGTGGCTTGGTGGTTGCTGTGTCGTTGGTGGCATTGGCCGTGGCTTCTTTGGCTTTTGTCGGTTCATCCACGTTTTCGGCGCTCTTGTCGGTTTCGGCAGCATCGTTCTTGGTGGAGGGATTCTTAGTATTATTAATGCGTTTCCTTTGCTGTTCTTTGGTCCAATAGGTTTCGAGAAATGCCATTTCACCAATCCAAGCACCCGAATTGCCTCCCGCTTTTTCCTCCTCGAGGGAGGAGGGTGAGACGGCCGACGCCGCCGTCAAGCGACGTCCGGAAATGGACGCTCGAGTGGACCCACTGACCACCAGACAAACATAGTCCATTTCGTCTCCTTGTCGAATAATGGCACTTCCCTTGGGGACGACAACTTGCTCGGCGGATTCTTCCAAAACCTGATATTGTCGTGGCGTAATGCCATGTGGCAGGAAGAACTGAATGTAGGTATCTTCTTGCTCGGGTGTCATGTGGACCTCGGAATGTCGTTCTTGTAGAATTTCTCGAATCTTGAATCCATTCACCGTGGCAAACAATGCCGACCAACAAACGGGCAGATACCGAGTGGGTGACAGTGTAAAGTTATAAATGACATTGGCCGTCGAACCCGTCACCGAGAGCATGCGTAGTTCCAGGACATCGGATCGGGTAAAGCCAATAAGTGTCGCCACGGATCCCATGTTCAGGACCACCGTAGGCCAATTCTCTTTCATCCATTCCTTGACAAACTGCCAATAATCCTCCACCACAGATTCGGCTTTTTGGTTTTTATTATTCGGCGCAGAGTGTGGTTTTGTATTGTGGAGGACGGTTTTGAATCCATGGGGAAAGGGTCCACCCGACGGGGGTAACTGCGGCAAATGGGAAGGTTTGGAGTGTGTTGGCTCGGGGTGGAGCTTGATTCGAAAAAACCGACCATTGTGGGTGCCCTTGACATAGCGTGGTCGAGTACTGCTCTTGCTACCTTCCAAAAGTGCTGATGCCACCTTTTCTAACTGTTGCTCATTGAGCTGTCGTCGAGAAAGGAGCTTTTGCAGGGAAGGACCTCGTCGGGGCATCGTCGTCCTGGTTTGGATATGTCTTTGCTCTTTGGCTATTGCCGTATTGATCGTGTTGTGACACTGAATTTTATTGGACTGCTGTGGCTGCAATGCCTCGAGCCCTCAGAACAAACAAAGGAATGATGTGGCTTTTTTACGGAATGCTTTTCGTCTGAGGCCAAAGATACCGGTAGGTCACGAATGAGAGGTGAGTCCTGGATACTCACATCCCCAGTTCGCCAGTGCTGCACCTGCCACAGCATGCAGGTCGCCTGTCACACAACGAAAGATGATTGCCTTGACCAAACTGTTGTGTTGGCTGACCGTGTTCAGCATCTGTTGGGAGAGGGGAACCTGCTTTCTTGCCAATCCACACCGGAAAAGTTCCCATCGGACGAACGGTAACTGGGTGCCAAGAGCTTCCTTGGTTCTGTGGTCGTCTTCCCAGAGTGGCACGGACGATGGCAGTACTAAAGATCCCACCACAAGACTACCGTCTGTGATTATCTTTGACTTGGATGGTTGTCTCTGGCGTCCAGAAATGTACGAACTGTTGTATTTCTCGGGTGGTGCTGGAGCACCCTTTACTAAGAGTCCCGACTACGATACCGATGGCACCCTCCTGACTACCAAGGGAGAACCGGTCCGTCTGTTGGGACAAGTCCGACAAGTCATGCAAGAACTCTATAGCAATCCCAAATGGAAGAATACACAAGTGGGGATATCCTCTCGTACCGACCAACCCGATTGGGCACGAGAATTGCTTCAAAAGTTTACCATTGAAACAACCACAACAACCAATAATGATAAGGGCAGCTACTTTGCCATGGAGCAAGTGTTCCAAAAAGGACCCATTGAGATTCAGTCCGATTCCAAAGTACGACACTTTGAGAGAATTGCCGCCCAGACCGGGGTACCCATGAGCGATATCCTGTTCTTTGACAATGAACGAGGGAATTGTCGAGAAGTGGCCAAGCTGGGGGTGGTCGTGGGATATGCCCCCGACGGAGTCACCCAACAAATATGGGATGCATCTCTGCAAGCATTTCCGGATGCTTCCGGGAAGGTCGTGGGCATAGACATCTACTCCTATGACAGTCTGGAAGGTGCCAACTTGTTTTATGATGGAGAAGACTATAAGAAGACAGAATGGTAGATACCCAATCTTTGGTTCTCTCTGGCTACTAGCAAAGAGCATGATGTCTCGTTTCCGACAGCAGGAAAGCTCAGACAATAAAGCTAGCTAGAGCAAGGACATGAGATACAAGAAAGCCCATCTGTTCCTTAACTCAGACAACAATAGCTAGCTAGAACAAGGATTCCATCTGTTCTTTGGGAAATTGGGCCACAGAGTATCCCTGATCCCCTGAAAGACTCGACAAACAGCCTTCAGTTTGCATATTGTAGATCCACATCAATAAGCATGGCAATGTAGCAACAGAGCAGGATACGACAGGTCAGTACAATTACATGTAATTTACAAAACTTTACTGAGTAGAGATTAAAAAGTACAACCAAAATGGTAGCTCCTTAGCAAAACGGCCCACTGTCGGTCAGTCCTGACATCTAGCCAAAGACATCTTGCGTGGTGACTGCTCGATCCGACTCTGGGAGTAGAGAATCCATGTTGCTACGGCTACCGGTACTTCTATCCCTGTCTTCTGGTTCCACGACTGCATTGACGACCAACGGAACTACATTTGGCTCCCCCCAACCAAATCCGTCGTCTTCTTCATCGCTGTCGTAAGACTCCTCTTCATCCCCATGAGACTGCTGTTCTGGAATAGGCTGTTGTTGCAGTCGCTGTTGTTGTTGCTGCTGCAGGGCACACAAGGCTTCCAGCTCGGCAATTCCATTCTGCAGCCTGGCCATTTCTTCCTGAACGGCTCTAGCAGCTTCTAGGGCAGCGGCTTCTTGCTTGCGTTTCAACTCTGATGATTCCGCTTCATCTTCCGACGAAGCCTTTTCTCTTAGAAGAGATCGGACCTTGGAGAATCGATCCTTGATATCCTTCGGAAGCGTTTGTTGCTCGTCACCTTCCACCAATGGAGGGAAGAGCATCCCCTGCACATGCATTTCGGCCATGCAAAACGTTCAAAGAGGCAAGGTTGACAATGCCCAACTGATCTGCAGACAGCTGTTGCTCATCCAATGACTACTGTAGTAATTGGTGGAAGAGAAGAGAAGGCATGGGAGGTAAGTTCAACCAAACTGCAAATACCACTCTGACCATCAACGCGGACAGCCAATCCGCCGACGGATGTGATCTTTGGAGGCTTCAAAAATGTGCGCGCGAGCGCGGTTCAAGCGTCGAAAGATTTAGATTTCCGGGTTATGGCCTCCGCAGGTTGCTTCCACGTAGAAACCCAGTACAAATCTCCTGTAGCGCCACTTTTTCTACGAAGCTCTTCTCTTGACACATCACACCATGGCGAGGAAAGAATTCGACTTACCGACAACAACAACAATAGCAACAATGATACCACGGAGAAGAATACAATAGCGTTGTTGACAATGTCCTTCTTGCTGATACGACAACGCAATCACTGCTTATCTCCCAAGGAGGCGTGATCTGGCCGTATGCTTGCAGAAAGATCAAAGACAACAACAACACGTTGCGGCTTCTTTGTGCTTTGTTGTTGTTGCCTTTTTTTTTGCTTTGATGTGTGACGAAACGTATGCATACGTCAGCGCTAAGTCACTAGTGTATTCGTGATTTAATTGTATCACGAATAAATGAGTCATGTGGAATTCGTGACGCGACTCTCTGAGTCACTTGCCTCCTGTTTTGGAAGGGTGGGGTTACTATTATGCGTGACGCCACCCTTCCGAAATTCTGTGTTCTGGTTCCTGCCACCGTTCCGTCCATTGGCTCAGAGGCGCGAACCCGAATCTCAATCGACCTTCCGACTTCTAGTTGCCGATCTTTGACTTCGACATCAAGTTGTCAAGGCTCGAGGAAGAATTTGTTTCGCTCACTTCAGACCATGGCTGAGCCTCCCAAACAACAAGGTCAGCTCAAGACATCCTCCGAGGACAAAGAAGAAGACAACGACAGCAGTAACCACCATGGCAACAACGCCTCATCTTCACCATTGATCATTCAGCAGCAGCAACAAGCATTGGAACCGCAACCTCTTGCCGATCGTGTCTCGGGCACGGACGACGGACAGGCCACTCTGACTCCTTCTGCCACGGCAGTCCCACCCATTGCGTCTTTGCCACTCATGTCAGTTGTCAGACAGAATAACATCAATCACAGCAACAATAGCAACGTGGAGGCTCATTCATCTTGTGCCTCGGACGCACCAGTAATACAGCAACGACAACCAGATCACGAGATGGCCATTGTCGCCGAAAGCATGGCGCAGGCGTCCATTGCTCCGTCCGCTTCCAATGGCACAGCAGCCGAGTCGGGCATCAAGTTTGACGCTGTCATGGCGCCTGCTGCGCCTCTGATCCCCATTGCCGCTGCTCCCGTCGTCAAACAACCACCACAGGAGAGTACTAGTAGTCGCAAGAAGAAACGAACTCCAGCTCCTCCTTTGCAACGCGGTCAGGCATCGGGAAGATGGACTCATGCCGAACACGAAGCCTTTCTGGAAGGGCTCAAGGTGTACGGGAGGGAATGGAAGAAGGTGGCCGTTCGAATTCCCACACGAACGTCGGCACAAGTTCGTTCTCACGCCCAAAAGTACTTTTCCAAGTTGACGCGAGACGAACAAATCATGCAACAAGATGCCGTCCATCATGCATTGGATGCTGCCGCGGCATCGGGTGCGTCGACAACATCGACGACCTCTTCGGCGGCTGCTTCGGAAGCCACGGCAGCGGCTCAGACGTATCCTCCTTCGGTACAACGCAACGTGCAACGCATCCTGGCTCATCCAGAACAAGCACAGCAAGATGTGGAGGACACGTTACGTGCACTGCGCGAGCGATATGCTCATTTGCAGCAGCGATTGCGAGAACATCAACAGAACAACAACAATCGTCACGCACATGTCATTGAAGAAGAAAAGGAAGCTGCTGCTGTTGCTGTCGAAGAACCAGTCCGCGGCAAGCGACGACGACCCGAAGCGGGAGACGATGCTTCCATGTCGTCCTCGACACTGTCGTCTTTGGGCAATGAAGAGCTGATTGCTCTGAGTGTGTTAGGCGCCACTCTACCCAATGCTGCTGCCGAACAACAACATCAACAAGAAGAACAAAGACATGCTCGTCAGCGATCCAATTCCTCACTCGATTCCACATCCTCCACCGGCAGCAGTGGCGGAAAACGGAAACGTGAGGATGCCGCCAAGTAAATACACACAGACTTGCCAACAACAAACAAACAAACACACAAGCACACTGTTCCGAAACCAAACACGCACATAGACTCATTCATTGGGGGAAAGTTTTGGAGATATATTCAGTGTCATTTTTTCATTTTCATACATGCCTCGAGACGAATCATAGAAGCATTCACACGAAATACAGCTTTCGTCTCGGCAGCCATTCCATGTTTACAGTAATATAGTTAATTGTCAGGGTAAATTACAACTAGCTAGTGCTGTATTAGAAAGGAAGATTGTCCTTGCCCTACTTTGGTTTCCAAGTGGTACCACGTGCTAGCTAACAAGTGGCGGCAGCTGCTTAGGACACTAGCTAGCTGATCGCCTTCCGTCAGCTCGACCTGCATGTCTTTGTCAGCGGCCATGACAGTGCCAGCTTGCTACACTCGCCGCCACCGACAGTGCTTGAAATGAGAAAGGGCAGCACCATTTGGATCGATACCGCACAGAACAGGACACAACTTCATCGGTACTAGCAGGGTTCGATCCAAGACGATTTCCGTCACAGAGGGCGGGTGGTGGGGCACCTTCTCCGTTTCGTACCCATGCACCAACCCTGGAAAAGTCGTCGTTTTGCCTTCTGCCTTCCTCTCCTCAAAGCAGGTTGCCAGCTCTCCGTTGGTCTCGGGTGGTCTGGGGTATTACCTTGTACATGCCAAGACAAGTGTCGACTATAATACTGCACCAAGTCGGAGCTCGTCGCTCCGACCCAACAGCTTCTTATGTTCCTACATTATTATCCTAACCGGACAATTTACGCTCGCGCTCTTGGAGGTTTGGGGAGTGGGGGTTTTGCAAAGGCTTCACGACCGCAACAAAATCGTCCCGGGGCGGGAGCTCGTCTGTGGTGTTTTCCATTTCATCATATTTATCCATGCAAGTCTGACAAAGGTCATAGTCCCTGCTCTTCGCCGCATACCTCGTTCCATGAATGGGAACACTGGCACATCCATCACAGGTAATCCAGTAATGCTTCTTTGAATCTGTTTTAGACACCTGGGTAAGCCTGAACAGCGGCTGCCTTGTTCCACAGAGCGACTTGGATTCCGCAACGAAATATCCTTCCCCAGAGTCGTATTTGCCATGAAACACGGTGCAATTGACCTCTTCGGTCCTGTGCTGCATCACCCAATAGGCTTCTCCTGTTATCGCCAAAAATCCTTCCCGGACAAAGAACTGAGGGCAGTTTTTCATGCCTTTTTGGATGTTTTGCTTCACGTCTTCGTCCGTCGTACAGGTCCCCCGGATCCACCACCCGGCAACCCCGGCGGGGCTCTGGCAGGGCGTGAACTGCAAGTGGGTCACCTCTTCATTCCCAACAGAACAAATTCTTGTCGGTGACACATAGTGTCCATTGACTGGGGTGGCCACTTCATCGGAGGAGGATCCCATTTGAACTTGGCTGGCAATCTCTCGCACAAGCCCAAGGAAGGTCGCCTGCTTTTCAAATTTCTGAGAGTTGGCTTTGTTTTGCTGGCCGATGGATGAGTAACGTACATACAACCAAAATGGCAAATATGTAAAAGGGGCCACAATCCCGAGCACGGAACTCCCACAAAACATTGCAATAAGAAGAAGAAACACGCAGTAGACAAAGGCAAGAGCTGTAGCCATCATGGGGGAAAATTTCAGATCAAGAAGAAGAAGCACGTGCACCAAGCAAACAGCCGCAGTGGCATATCCAACAGGAAACCCCAACAGCACAATCGCAATCAACAACAGGGCGAGCATGAGCCAATTAATTTTTTTGAGGAGAGCCTTTCTCCACTCAAATGCAAGCTGGTATGTATCTGCCACTAAGTGCATGCTTGCCATGTGACGCTCATACTGAGATTGGGGAGATGTTTCGTCTTCCTCCTGTTTCTTCTTGCTTGACCTTTTCCAGAGTTTGGAAAAGCGAGAGAACTTGATGCCATAGTCCGACCAGAAACTACTTGCGGCCGTATCCACTGTGTCGGCAGTGCGATCGGAAAGAGATTCATCATCGTCGTCGTCGTCATCACCACAATTGTCATGGCCAGCATCCTTCGGAATGTCCTTGGGTTTGGGTGGCCCACGTTCAATGACTCCGCGGAGGTAGAAGATCGCAACCACATAGGCGGCCAGAATTGCCAGGGCCACAACTGCAAAAACAGCAACAGTAGAGAGGGTTCCAACAATGCCACGGTACCAGAACCGCCCAAAGCTGTTGGACTGCGAAGTTGGCGCTGCGGTGGGCCACGGGATCACCACCACAGAAGTTGAGTTGTCCTCAGCAGAAGTGATGTTGAATCTGAAGCTCTCTCCAGAAGCAGAATTGAAAAAGGCGACAAGACCCAGGTCGCGAGGAGCTCCCAGACGGCCAGCCGCCGCTGCCGTCAAGCAACCGAGGGCAAACAGAATTCTCACCTGTAGGCTTTGCATCTTGCTATCTCACGCAACAATGAGAAGAAGGTCGTGGCTATTGTCGCTTGATGCCACCACCCCGTGTGCCCCTCTACTACCATAGTAGCTAATAGGTGTCGCACAAGGTTCGAAATCATGTCTGGGCAGATACCACGACTGGAGAAAAGAGCGAGAAAGACTTAAAGTATTGAAGCCGGCCTTCACAGGCTTAACATCCGGTACTGTATCCAATTGATTTACTAGTAATTTGGTACCGTACGGTATCGAAGGTACGGAATCGTACAAAAGGTACTACGGCATGGTACGGTAACGCTGGGAACGTTCTTTTGACCAAACTCGAGGAAGAAGAAAAAAGCGTTCACGAAAAGGCGTCACAAAAAGTCAAAGCAACATTGTTGTCGCAAGCAAACAAACAAAAGCAAACACTCAAGTCGTAAACGAAGCAAATACTACAAGAGAAAGAACGATGATGTCCTGGATGAAGCTCATGTTGTTTGCTGTCATGATGGTGCTCGTTCCTTGGCTTGTTGGTGCCATTGGTGTGCGAGGAGGAACCGACGAGACGTTGTCGTTGGATCAAGATGCGTCAATCAAGACGCCCGATCGTTCGTTGGAGCAACCACCTCGTCTTCTCCGAGGAGTCAACGTCAATGGCTACACGAACTTCACGTTCGTTTGCGAAAACCAAGCGGATCGCGTTCGTATCGTCGGAGCCAACGATCGCGACAAACGCGTCAAGTGCCGCAACCGTCCTACTCCAGAAACGGACAGGGTCTTTTGCCGTCAGTTCGACATGGACACCCGCATTTTGGTGTGGCACATCTGCCCGATGATGTGCTCGTACTCGCAGTGCAGCCAAGGATGTGTCAACAATGCGACGGATGGATTGCTCGAGGTGTTGGATGGTCGAAGCCGAAAGAAGACAGTGCAGTGCGACGACAAACCTGGTCGAAACTCCCGGTTCTGCCGACAGTTCGATGCTCGTAGCGACGTGCCAGTCTGGCAAGTGTGCCCTTTGATGTGTCCTCACCTGTCTGGGTGCAACTAGAGTCGCGTCGAGCCGCCGAGTCGAGCCACCGTGAATGTGAAAAATAGCTGGTCGAAGTCTCTGGTTCGAGCGTCGACGTCAACGGCTGTTGCCGAGAGAAGAATCGAGACTCCCAAGTCGACGAGCCGAGCACCGGCCGTCATCCAAGATACATGAGTGACAATGCGTCACGACTACGAAAACAAAAGGTTTAGTTGTTGCTTGTTTCGTAGTACTAGTAAATTATAATTGTAACGACCATCGTCAACGCAAAAAATCGCTTCCTCCATCGGCTGTTTCTCGTCCTCCTTCGTTCTTTCTACACCACCACCAAGTACAAACCCTTCTAGTTAGTTGCCAGGTTGATTGCGACCAGCTTGTGAGACAACAAGCAGCGATGATCCATCGACTCCGTGGACATTTCCTTCGTCGTCGGCAGCGAGACTTTGCGTATTCATTGCACCCGTGAAGGAAGTGGCTGCCGCTGCGACGCCATCCGCCACACACGCAAACAGTGGCTTGGATTCCGCCACACGAGCTCCTCCAGCGCCGCCACTGTTTCCCAGCAACCTGCGATCCTCGCCGTCATACGAACCCGTGTTGACTGCCTGCAATCCACCAGCACCTGGAGGACGTGACACTCCCATGTCACCCCGGTATTGAGGCGTCTGCCGTTGCGTTTGAGGCTGGGGAGTCGTAGCAGTGGTTGCATCAGCGCCTCCAAATCCGAGCCAACCCCACCAAGAATCATCCTTTTTGTCCTGCTGCGCCTCCTGTTGTCGCGGTTGCTGCTGAGCACGTCTCTGTCTGCGTTCCGATCGTTCTGCCGCGCCGTACTCTTCCTTTTGAAGTTCTTCGGCCAGCTTTCGATCGGCTTCCATCTGCAACGCTTCCTCTTTGGACGTGACTGCATTGTCTCTATCCACGGGGCTCACCACTTGACAAACGGGGCAAAACATGAGGGTCGCATTGTCGGTTACCTGCATCCAGTTATTACAATTGACACACTGAGTCAAAATAGCCGTACCATCGGCAATGGCGGCACGTGTTCGTTCCTGGCCATGCAGGGCCACCTCCTGGTTGTCGTTCACTTTGACCGTGCGCTTCGCCGAAGCAGCAGCAGCACCACTACTAGTACTACTTCCAGGGAGCCTGACGCGATCTCCTCCCGCAATCCTCGCCACGGCTGCATTGCTCCTCTGATCAAAGGCATCCGCAGCCGAAATGGCCGAAGAAGGCGCTTTTCCAGCGGCCTTGTTTTGTTCAATTTCTGCCATAATTCGTCTCTGCTCTTCCAACAAAGCATTCCTTTCCGCTTCCGAAAGACCTTCCAATCCATCAAATTCCTCTGTTGGTGGTTGTTGCGCTTCCACCGGCATGGGTGGAGGTGGAAGTAGTTGCTCGGCAGGCGGAGCTGTTCCTCCCAGTAAATCCTCAAATGTCGGGGCCGAAGGAGCCGGTGGTGCCGTGGCATAACTGGGAGGAGCGGCTGGTTCCATCGTAGCGGGTGGTGGCTTTAGATCGAATGCGTCTCCCAACATGTCAAAGGCAGGAGGAGCTTCTTCCTGAGGAGGAGCCATGAAAGCGGCATCGTCAAACGCCGGAGGAGGAGTCGCAGCAGCAGCTGGAGGAGGCGCCATGTCAAAAATGTCGGGTGGTGGTGCCTCGGGTGCCGCCGTGGGCTTGGCCTGTTTGGCACGTTCCTGAGCCGCCATGATGCGTGCCTTTTGTTGGAGAGCATTCAATTTAATATTGGCAGATAGTTGAGGTGAATGTTTAAATGTGCACGAATAAATTCCACACAAAAATCATGACTGAATCTACATTGACATTGTTCCCTTTAAAACCAAATAGTAGTATTCAAAATACCATGAAAAACAAACAAATAGTGACTTACCAGCAAGGCATTCTTTCCGGTAGCAGCTGGAGCTTCCGCTACGGCAGGAGGAGCCGCAAAGGCAGGGGGTTGTTGTTGCTCGGCCACTTCCATGGGGGGAGGCGGGTCATCGTCACCCAACATGGCAAGGCGACGTTCTAGATCCGCAACGGCATCCGTCTTTTTGGCTTCCGCCGGTTTGGCGGCCGCCTCTTGGGGCTTGCTCATCATCATGGTGGAAATAGATAGATTGTTGTGTCTTTTTTTATATATTGGCAGCCAGCTATGATAGCAGGTCGTGTGAGTGATGAGGTGTTTGTTCCTTTCTTGGATGAATGAATAAGCGTTGCGTTGTGAAGAAGGCAATGCCACTTTGCTTTGTGCGACTGCTTGGCTCTTGCTGGGGACTGAAGACTTGATGGAGCTTGCCTCACGGTTCCTTCGTGATCTTTTGAAGAACAAAACTTTCCTAAATCTTTGCTTTTGCCGGTGCGACACGCACCTTCGGTTCCACGACCGATCAAGTTAGGGATAGAGCTTCAAAGATTGGATCTTTAGCACAAACACCCAAGCTATGAACCAGCGCCTATCGGTACCAGGTACCGGTGGTACCTGATTCAATCCGGACGTCGACCATGGGCATCTTTCAGAGGACCAAAGGTGCTGAAAAGGAGCGGGCGGCAAGAAGGAGGCATCGCCAGTGTGGCGGTCATCCGATCCAGGCTCATGGCTGTCTTTGAAAGGGTGGGAGAAATCACTGGCAAGAGGCAAGCCAGTCAGTCCCGACAGACTATAGTTTGCCCTCTTGGCAATGATCAAGGCGACTTCTACCGATGCTTTTCAGCAGCAACGATTGTTGAGTCTAGCTAGATGAGGCTGTCCTGGAGGATCCATCGACAGTAACACCAACAGAAGAGACTCTACCAAGAGATGGTGACGAAATGAAGGGGCTATTTCCCATGCTTCGTCTCGCCGAACTTGCCTACGAGCCCAACACAGAGGAACTGGAACAAAAGTTAAAGGAAGAAGGAGGGTACGAGTTTTACAGACACAAAACAGACAGCAATGTGGGACAGTTGGGGTATTATGTGGCGTTGAATCGTTCCGAAAAGATCCTCTTGTTTGGAGTCCGAGGCGCATACACACTCTCGGATGCCGTTACCGATACTGTTTCGCTCACAATTAATTCCGCATCCGTGTGATCCCCATTGTCCCTTTACGGGAAAACCAGTGTGTGATGGAACAAGCAAACGGCCGCGAAATACAGTGCCATGAAGGTGTGTTACATGCGGCGCTCAAGCTCTGTGAGTGATGACGTCTATGATATCATTGTTTCGGTGACACTAAAGTCGGGTTACAGGGTCCGCTAGCTGATAAAAAAGAAGAGCTCTGGCAAAGAACTTGGATGCCGATAAAGATCCAAGCATCTTGATTCGATTCAGTTCCATCAATTGCTGTTCGGGAAAATGATACGCCGCAGTCTTCCACTGGTACATGTGGCCTTGCTCGGGTACCGCCCTCTCCCTTCCAAGCTCGATCGCATACACGTACTCCAACAGAATTTCTCTTCTCGTCTCATCTTTAGAAGGCGCTCGAACATGGCCTTCCTTCTTTTAGCAAAGACTCTTCTGCTATTCCTGCTTCCTCTGCTCGCCCAACCGGTACCATCGCAAGCGGGAAACGGGTGGGGTGCTAGTAGTGCTTGTACGGCTGTAGCGACACATCGGAAGTCAAAGTTGCATCACGAGTGGATTCCTGTTTGAAAGAGACGCGTGCACCGGCGATTGTAAAGACACGGGATTCCAAGGTGTGCATACATGTTGCTGCTCACTTGAGAGTATTTGAAGCAGCACGTTGTGAAATTTGCAGCGATATCACGGAGATGTGTCTCGAGAGCAAAGGGGAGTGCGCACCCAAGTGTCCCGAGCTAACTGTCGCCCCAACAATCTCTGCGGCTCCCACCCTTAATCCCTCACCTACCATTCAACCCACCCAACAATCATTTGTTTTCGAAACACCATTTCTCCCTGGCGATCCGTCGTTTCAATTGCCCCCACCCTCATTTCCCACCGGTGTCATTCGTGATGCCACGGTTTTTGTGCCTCCACCAACACCGGATACAACACTAGCCACGTCCAAATCAACGCTTGGAGAACCACACTTTCGAAGGCTTTGTGTATGACATGGCCAACCCTGCGAGCCATGGATGGCCAGCTCATTGCGTCAATGAACGGCGAGGAGTGGGTGGTTATTGTGTTGGGAAGCGACGTCTACTTGAGTCCGGCGACAGCTGCTGAAACTGACGCTGTCTTTTGCTGGGGCTGCTGCTGCAATGTGGAGGCAGATGCAGTCCGGCGAAGGAAAGGATGAAACCCAAGTTTCCTATGATCACGACAAGGAACCTGGACCCTTTGGAATGGACATGGTTGGCAAGGACGGTACTGACCCCGAATTTGTGCCTCTGGTAGACTCGCAGTGTGGCGAATTCGAGGACAAGTCAGCATACAAGAGTCCCGCCACAATGTCTCCTCAAGAAGACAGTGATGGAACAGATGGGCATGGTCGAATGAGTGTTGTAACAGATCCTCAAAGCATATCCCAGATCGAAATTGAGGAGGACCAAAGTGGCAGTGCAACGGTAGAAGGCAGCTCCAACGGAGAACACAACGCCAACGACAAATGGAGCGACGAAGGATCCTGGATGGCCAGTGTGGTTGTCAAAGTTGAAGCTGTCGCGTAGACATCGCCCATGAAAGTGACGAATTTGAAAGTGACATGTCACACAGGAGTGCTGCCCCAAATTCTCATGATGAAGACGATGATGAAACGATTGGTTCCAGAAAGGGAATTGACGGGGGCGAAGGGGGCAGCGCAATGCTCAAAAACGGCTCCTGTGATGGCCACAGCGCCAACGATGAAAAAAGCGGTGGAGCACCGGCAAATGGGAGTGAGGTTGCCGGAGTTGAAGCTGTCGATGTTATGGCAGACAGTGACTTTGAAAGCGAAGCCAGTAGTTTTGAAACTGAGGAGTTTGAAGACGAAGACGGAAGTTGAGGGTCGGCCCCACCAGGCCGAAGAAGTCAAACTCTCGACACTGATGACAGTGCCCAGAAACCTGAATTGGAAACACTCAGGGCGGCAGATCCAGTAGTGGACCAGGTCATCGCTGAAGGGGAAGAAGTTTCCTCGGGCGAAGAGGACGCTGACGATTCCACCGATGGTGTCAATATCCATAAAGTCCACGAAGAAAACAGTTCCGCGTGGGATGGCGGAGAGCACGGGAATCAAAGTGGAGAGAGACATGACGCTGACTTCGAAGGTGAGTACTAGCTAGCCCCATACTCGTCAATCCAATGCAAGTCTTCGAAGGGAAGTAATCGGAAGTGCAGACAGCACAGGCACAAACGGGCTTAGGCGATGCCGTGCGAGTGAGGCTTCGAAATCTCTTACCGATCTTGCTGGCACTCCACTGCATTCCTCGAGAAAGACACCGTAGACGAGCTCATTCTGACTGGGGGGCGTGAGTGCACGATCCATTACCGGCACTAAGTATTATTTTAAGGTGCATTGCTGAATCCGTGGCTCAACGTTAGAAGGATAACACCCTGTTTGGTCATCAAGTTCCAATGCCTTCGTCTTCTTGTGCACCGCTATACGTCCTTCCTTATTACCAGTCTGATGGTGGTGTCTGATTTGGGCCACCAATCTCCACTGGAATCATATCCTCGGACATGTACTTGTGCAGCTGCTCGCGTTCATCTGCATTTTGTGGAGCAATCATCTTCACTTTTTCCAATACACGCTGAGGCACTATGTGTTTAACTAAGGCCCAGATAAGATGCATCCAATCAGGAGAGTTGCACAAATACACAACCTCAACCATCTGAGGATAGCAGTTTTGCATTTTGTCCATAATTTTACCATCGCGCTTGAAAGCAGCACGTGAATAGTGCTTGACAAGGCTGGCAGAAGTAGGCACGGCAGAACACAAAACGAGTCATAAGAGAATGTGATAGCTATGGTGTTGTTGCAAGGCGATGGACTTTCTTACCTGACTCCTTCCAAATCCATGCATCGGGCCACAGTTGTCAACCTTCCGGTAGTGCGTGTCACATAGTCTGTCCACTGATGAGTCCATTCGCTGTTGTATATGAAGGCATATTCCCAAGTATCCATGTCTATAACATTGGCAGCATTGTGATTGATTTGTTTCCAATGGACGAACATGATGACACCTCTCTGCTTGTCAGGCAACACTGAGACAACGCCTCCTTGGTAGCGCTTCTCCCAAACCTCCGCAATGGGACCAGTTTTCACTTTGTGGGGTTGTTCCCCACGAATGTCCTTTTGGTCCAACCCATGCTTTTGGCGGAATAGCAAAGTCTCCTTGGCAGCTGCAACAGCCTGTTTGGTTTTCTTGTGGCTCATGAGAAATCTCAAAATCCACAAGTCATCGTGTTTGTTAGCATGGTCAAAGAGAGGATCTTCCTCCAAAGCAGACCTAATCTTGGCAATCTTGACAGAGTGTTCCATCAAAAGATCCTTGACCGCAGGCCGTTTGTCATCATCACAGACTGGTGCAACAGGATTGGCTACTGCCACTGCAACATCTTTCATCCAAGGCCAAGAGGTCATGATACTGGCTGGTTTTGTGTTGTGTTGTGTTGTGTTGTGAAACTTTTTTGAAGCTGAGTTATGGGAAAAGAAAGCTCGGATCGACCAGTTTTGCAGCTGACCCTGGTGTGATGAGCGACAAAGACTCGCAGACACTGGATTGAAGCATCTTTGCAAGGATGCATACCGGTACCGGTACTGTGTACTGGTACCTATGCCGGACTAGCTAGAAGGTTTTGGTACCTTTAGTACCAGGTATCGGTACCAGTATGTGAGCCAGCCTCAAACAGTGGAACTGTGACTAATTTTTTCATTCAAAGTCACTCTGACCGATTGGCCGGCGTTCACTGTTGATGTTGTTTAGTTGTTCAGCCGTTCAGCCAAAAATCAGCATCAAGCAAGAAGCGATGTTGGCCTCTTGGGAAGAGAGAGATGGCCTAGAAGGCACCTTTGACAGCTCTGATAGATGTGGCGAATATCGAAACAAAACTACAAATAAACATTCATGGAACTGGTTGAAAAACTAAAAGGAGCTAAGGCAGGTTGTTCTACAGCACTAGCAAAACTCGCACATTTCACGAATTCTTCCCGAGCGTGATGTCCTACTCTAGCTAGAAATAGAGCTAAGGAGGGAGAGAAACGGGGTCGCGTACTGTTGGGCTTCTCCGTGCTGATCGGCGGCTCCGGCATGACGACGACTGTCTTCGGCCGCGTATCTGGCTTGTCGTGGCTGCAGACGTTGGTGTTTGATGAAAATATCGTAGCTAGTAGGAGTACAGGTCGACAAAGGACTGAGATCTATTGTTTGTGCTCCTGGGTTGCCTCCGTACAACTGCACGTTCGTGGCGCCGCTCCATGACATTGGCCGTCCAGCTTCGAGGGAGCCTCTCTTCGGACTTTCCTCTTAGCATTTGTCTGTATTGCGAAAGAGAAACTGTTGCTTTCAACTTGCGAAGAACGTACGCGCTGACTTGTCCATCTTTGCAACAGCGCTTGAACACAAGCTCGGCGATTTCATTGCGGGCATCGCTCTTGGGCATCAACTTGGAGACAACGCCCAAAAAAGATCCGTAGGTTGTGTGAGTCGGTCTGAATTCTTGTCGGACCTCGTCGAATGTAACGCAGCCAACTGCAAAGGCTTCTTCCTGCTCCTTAACATCGGTTGAATTCGTGTACTCACAGGCGTTCAGCACAGCATTGTAAGTCACCACAGTCGGTCGCATTCCTACGATTCCATCTTTAGCGCCTTCTTTCATGCGCTCCAGCACCGTTTGGGCTTTCTTGGCTTTTTGAGGCAAATTGCTACGAGCGTATTTTTGAATAAGAGCTGTGAATGCTTTTGCGTCTGGCTTGAACGAAGTGCTTTCGTTCATCCTTTCAATGAGAGACTCTGCACGATTGATGGACACTGGGTCCCGGCTCTTGGCGTATGCATCTAGCACGATGCTGTAGGATTGAACGTTTGGGCCAAGTAACCCTTTCTCCAGCATTTCCAAGGTTTCCTCGGCCTCTTCTCCCATTCCTCTCTTTGCGAATGTGTTCAGTAAGCCATTCCAGCACGAAATGTCTGGAGACAATCCGAGATCAGGCATTCGTCTTTCAATCAAATTCTTTGCGAAAGTCGAAGTACCTTGCTCCCCGCAAGATGCCAACGATGAAAGGACACTAGAGAAGAACATGCAGTCCGTCTTGATGTCTGGTGAATTGATGGCCTCATCCAATAGCAACTCGACAGTCTCCAGAGCCCGTCGTGTGCTGAGACGGCAGATCACTGCAATCAGTGTTGTGTACGTTATGGAACATGGTCTAGCAAGCTTTTTCCATGGTTTCCGTTTGTCGAGTTTTGCTTTCATCCTTTCCAGCAAGCCAAGAGCGCGCAATGGCGCATTTTGGTCTCCAGATCGCGATAAGGCATTCAACACAATATTGTAGGTAGTGGTTGTCGGCGAGACAATGGAGTTGGGTGCAGATGCCATGTCCTCCATGAGCTTCAGCAGCATCTCAGCACGCCCTGTTGCCTTTTTTCCACCCTTTTTCGCCCATGCCAGGAGCACTTGATCAAAACAGGTCGTGTCTGGAGTGGGTTTGTGACGATTGGCTGTGTGCTGCTTGTAAAAGTAAAGCAGGAGCTCTTCTGCTCGATATGGATCACCTTTCGCCGCATAAACTCCAAGAAGGCCCGACAAAGAAATGGCGTCTGGTTTCAAATGTCGCGACAGCTCGTCAAAGACACGCTCGGCCTCTTGCCCAGCATTGGGAATGTTAGATCTCTGATATGCATGAATGACTGTGTTGTAAGAAATCAAATCCGCTTTGATGTCGAGCAGCATTCCGCCATCGTGGAGCTCTTGGAGATTTTTCAAAAACCGTTTGCAACGCTCTGGGTGTTTACTCTTGGAATGTGCAAGGATCACGGTGTTGAACGTGATAATGTCTGGTTTGAGTTTGACATTGGCATGGTTCAGATACTGGTCCAACATGTAGACAAATATCTCTTCAGCGATTTGCCCTCCCTGCGGCACTTCTGCGTTAGCTAATTGGCGTATAATTCGATTGAATGTAAGCGTGTCTGCCTGAAACTTCTCATTCCCGTCAAGAGAAACCCCCAATTGCTTCATGGCTTTCCGGACGTCGTCTTCCGATTTGATCGCATGCTGTTGCGAAGTTGCCTTCTTGGTGGACTCTGCTTCTTCGGCGTACATTTCACTTTGGCTGATGCGCAGCTTCTCAATTTCGTCGCCTGCGCCCAAGGCTTCCCATGCCTCCACCACACGGTCGTACAGTGATTTGTCAGGTCTCAGCTTTGGGTTGTCAGTTGCCTTGCTCAACTCTTCCATTCGATTCAACAGCGATGCGCTCGTTCGGCTTGTCGTCGAGCGTCCTCCCCTTTCTTGTTGTTGTGTGCATTAGAGCTCTCTTGACAGCAACGTGAAATGACGTCTTGAAAGAGGCCTTTGGAAGGAATGAACCGTTCTTCCATTCGATCTAGCCATTGCTCTGCTTTGGCGGTATCAAATGCGAGCCACGATCGGATAATGTTGGCATAGGATCTCCCATTTGGGCCATTATTGTCATTGGAAGAGGATTTTCCATCATTTTGGTCAATGTTTGTTCCGCCCGTGTCACACCCACCATGGAACCATCACTGAGGCAGGCATCCATGAGGAAATTGTAGACACTCGTGTCGGGGACAACGAACGGATCCACTTCCATTTGCTTGACAATCATGCCAGCTTGTTCGGCCACCTTTGCTGCTAATGTGGTGGTGGTACCACCAAATGTCCTCGTACGACCGCCATCCATTCCTTGTACAAGGCCATGTCCGGTTGCAGCGACGACAGTGTCATTGCTCGTTCATTCAAGTTGGCCACCAGTGCTTGACTCTGCCATATTATTAGTATCCATCAGCAGAGAAGAAGTGGAAAGTCTGGGAGTGTCCCAAAACGAAGGAACCTGGTGTACAAATCCGGTCGGGTTGAAATTGATACCCCCGATCGTACAATGCCACATGTCGAAATGACGTCCATGGCATAGTAGTAGTAGAGCCTACTATATCCCTCACTCACCTCTTTGCGTAGGCGTAAGACGCCGTGGCCGCCAATGGCATGAGATAAGCCATTCAGCTCTCTAGGGTTGAGATCCAAAACTCTCTCCATAATCCTCTCTTTT